ATTTATTCGTCCTTTGTTGCTCTTGGAAATGCAGTCAATACTCTGGTATCACAGCACACCAGGAATAAATTTAACAAAAGAAGTGTACAACTTGTACACTGGAAATTACAAAACATCATTCAAAGAAATTAAAGAAGGCCTGAATAAGTGGAAAAGGTCCCATGTTCATCACTGGAAGATTTAATGTTGTTAAATGGCAGTACTACCCAAATTGATCTAAAGATTCAGCACAATCTCTGTTAAAATCCCATCTGGCTTTTTTTGCAGAAGTTGACAAGTTGATCCTAAAATACATATGGAAATGCAAGGGACCAATAATAGCCAAAATGATCTGGAAAAAGAAGAACAAAGTTAGAGGACTCACAGGTCTCAATTTTGAATCTACAAAGCAGCAGTGAACAAGAGATTGTGGTACATGCATAAAGATAGACATAAATCAAATGGAATAGGGTTGATTGTCAAGAAATAAATCTGTACATTTAATAAACAAGAGTGCCAAGACAATTCAATAGAGAAAGAATAGTTTTTTCAACAAATGGTACTGGGACAACTACATATCCACATGCAGAATAGTGAATTTTGTCCATTTCTCATACCATATTTAAATAACTTAAAGTGGATCAAAAACCTAAATATAAGGACTAAAAAACTATAAAACTTTTAGAAGAAAACATAGGCGTACATTTTCGTACCTTGTAACAGTTTCTTAGATGTGACACCTAAATATAAGGACTAAAAAACTATAAAACTTTTAGAAGAAAACATAGGCGTACATTTTCGTACCTTGTAACAGTTTCTTAGATGTGACACCTAAGGTACAAACAACATTTTTAAAATGTTGTATATCCATACAGTGAGATATTATTCAGCCATGCAAAGGAATGACATACTGATACTTACTACAACATGGGTGAACCTTGAGAACTCATGTTAAGTGAAAGAAGCCAGACATAAAAGGCCATGTATTGTATCATCTCATGTATCTGAAATATCCAGAATAGGCAAGTTTATAGAGACAAAGAGTAGATTAGTGCTTTTATACTGCAAGAGGATGGGGAATACCAATCAATGTATAGGATTTCATTTGGAGGTAATGAAAATATTGTGGAATAAGTTAGTGGTGACAGTTTCTCATTTTGTGAATATAGTAAAAACCACTTAGTAGTACACTTCTAAATGTTGAGTTTTATGGTATGTGAATTATTTTATTCCTCAATAAAAGGAAAAGTATCTTAAAAGATATTAAAACAAAAGGTCACACCTTTGGAAGTTGCTATGGCATGAACTGACTATTCTGAAAAGTGGTAAATATTTGGAAATAGTTTATACTAATTGAGTAACAGGTAACCAAATAAGGATGAGGGAAATCTTTTTTTTTTTTTTAAATAGATTTTTGAGACTGTAATTAATTAATGCAGAAGGGCTGATAGAATATGACCATTTTTCAATACCTGCTGTAATAGGTAATGATCGTTACTGGCTGCTCTAATGAGGGAACTTTAAAATGGATGTCTTAGTTTGTTAGGGCTGCTGTAAAAAAATACCACAAACCGAATGTCTTAGAAACAACAGAAATTTATTTCTTACAGTTCTGGGGGCTGAGAAGTACAAGATCAAGGTGCTGGCAGATTCAGTGTCTGGTTAGGGCCTGCTTTCTGGTTCACAGAGGGTACCTTCTTGCCCCTCACATGGTAAAACGGATGAGGGGCCTCTCTTGGGCTTCTTTTATATGGGTACAAATCCCATCCATGAGGGTATCACCTAATCGCTTCCCAAAGGCTCCACCTCATCACCTCCCAAAGGCCCCACCTCCTAATGCATATGAATTTTGGGGGGACAGAAACATTCAGGCAGAATGGATTAGGCTGATAGTACTGAAACCCACTGATCCATTTAATATTACTAGAAAACGTTGTCTCCTGCCTCCAGCTTATTAAATCAAAGAAAGGAGTTTTGTTTCTGGGGGGGTTCCATTCACTTTGTGAAACAGCCCTCTACTGTTTTGTTTAAGGTGTGCATTTCTCAACATCTCCAGACTCTCCTGTTTTAACTTTACTGCTTCAGGCAGCCTTTGTCAGAAAGTTTGGTATAGGGCAAGATGGAGTTTCTGTTTCTGTTTTTCTTTCCTTTTGTGTTTTTGTGTGATTTTTGAGAGGAGACAGTTCTAGATGCCTTGACCTGGTCATCTTATAGGGCAAGATGGAGTATAGGGCAAGATGGAGTTTCTGTTTCTGTTTTTCTTTCTTTTTGTGTTTTTGTGTGATTTTTGAGAGGAGACAGTTCTAGATGCCTTGACCTGGTCATCTTACACCTAGGAGTCTTTGGGAACTATTTCAATAGATCAGGTAAGAGGTAATCAACGTCTGAACTACGGCAGAGGAAATATTGATAAAGTGACAGGATAGATTGATTTGTTGTTGGGGATATTAGGCAAGGCACATAGTAGGGGCTATATCAATGTTTGTTGACTGTTGAATGAACGTAAGTAGACCTAATTTTAGGATTTTATTGCAATTTTAGTATGAATTGTGCCTGTATATCTATCTGTAAAGTCCACTTCCAGGGTTACCATGGATGAATTGAGTCAGATCTGGGCTTTTAGAGGAGAGGTTGCAAACTGATGGCCAAGAGGGCAAATCTAGCTCACCACTGTGTTTTATTTGGCCTCAATAGTGGTTTTTTAAAAAATTTTCTTTAATTTATTGCCAATGTTTCAAAATAGTGAGATTTCACATAAAAATCAGAGTTTCTGGCTTCTCTTGAAAAAGCGGAAGATATGGTCACATTGGGCTTATATTCCCTCATGGCAACAACTCAGCTGAATAATAACTGCATTAGATAGACACAGGCAGGAAACACTGCCTCTGTCACTCACTGGTCCTTCTGGGCATTTGAGTTCGTGATCCTTTATAGCATTGGTTTCAGAAAACTGTTTTCTAAATATTCCATTGTTACTTTTAATGACCTTTATTCTTATATTGCTGTTTAACATACTGTATGTTTATGACACCTACCTAATTAAGATATAATCTCTGTGATGGCAGTAAGTGTGTGTCTTCTATTTCTGTATATTCTTCATGGTGATGGTATAATGCCCTCCACACTCTAGGGAAGTCAGTACGTACTTACACATCTCCACTCTGATTTGGCAAGGTAATTGAGGAAATCCAATACTGCCATAACATTCAAGACATTTTAATGATATTTCAAAGTATCTTAACACATTGGTTTGAAAAAAAATATGCTCTATTATCATCTTGGCGAAATGATTTATGTTTGGTAATGATAATTCTTTCCCCATTTTTATTAATCAGTTATCTCAGGTAATTTTAGGGTTAAAATTACTTGATTAGGTTACTGGCATTGTGAGATTACTAAATGACATTTTGGATATTACCTATTTTCTTGGCCATATTAATTACATGGATTCTTTGAAGTTAGGTCTTACAAGTATTTTCTCATAGGTAAATGATTACAGAAAATAAATGGAAAGGGCTGAGGTCTTTATTGGGATATTCATTGTCAGAAAGGATATGGAAAAATGAATTTTTTTTAAAAAGAAGTGTTATTTGATAATACAAGTACAGAGACATAACGAAAACAATTGATGTTAACGTTAAAAATATAAAAAATTGTTTTGTGCATGTGTTGGATTATAGAGCTCAATTTAAGAAGGCATCAAGTCAATTACTATAAAGTTTTTTTGAAAGTTGTTTTACTTTATGAACATGAACCATATTTTCTTTCGCCCCATGCTAGCCAATTGGATAATGATTTTGACAATCTAGTTTGAACATTGTAGATGTTGGTTTCATGCCATGAATATTTCTCAACCCTTATTGTATGTTTATTTTTACATTAGGTGAGAAATTCATCCACACTTCTCTTTAGTGCCTTAATCACAAGAATCTTTGGAGTTAAAAGGGGAAAAGATGAACTTTCCAAAACAAATAGGTAAGCTCCATCTAACTTTACTTTTTATACGAGATTGTCTTGGCCAAAAATAATTTTCAAAATTTTGCTTACTTTTATAGATTCATCTAGAGCATAAAACTATAAAAATACTATAATGAATTAACCTATGCTGCCAAATTTTAAGCCCTTAGGCAAAAATGTCAACTGTTTTATAAGTGGACCTTTTAAAGCAGCAAAAATAAAGCAAGGTAGCAAGGGCTGAAATGTAGAGCTTGTTTCTCAGTGCAATAGCTAAAGTTTTTTTTTTTTTTTTCTTTGAATCTTCGAGTATTCCTGAAATGTCCTAAATTACTTTTTCTTGATGTGTTATCAAGTATTATCTTGTGCAATATCTTTAATTTCACAGGTGAAAGTTTAAATGTTTATGATACGCTCATCAGAACATGTCCTAGATTACCTTTGCATTTAACTCTGTAATGGAAGAGAATAGTTACAGATGTTGGCCACATGGAATAAACACTGCTTTTTACTTTTTGACCTTTAGTTTTATGTTTGCTCTCTATGATATTTTCCTCTTAACAAGGTTTTATTTAATGTCCAGAAGGAAACTTATGGAACCGTTATGATTGTGGTTAATAGTTAGATATAATGCACAAATCTTGTTTGTTTTTAAAGAAGAGAAGTTTTGAATAATTGTTCTTTAGCACTTAAGAAGATTTAATAGTAGTCTAAGTGGCTTGCAATTGTTAACACTAGATGGCACTGTCGCTGCATGTTTAATTACTTCCTTAACCTTTTTAGGATCACTTTGGCCTAGTGGTCTTTTTTTGATAATCTAGAGATAAATTCAGGCCCAATTTCTCTCCTACCTAAAAAAAGTTATCATGCTTCAAATTTAGATTTTAAGCTGTTGTTTATTAAAATACATTTTCTTGTGACGGAACTAAGTTTGAGGAATTAACATATATCATGATATAATTTTATGACACTGGTGGTAATTCTAATGAAACCTACTGTGGTTGTTCAGAATTGTCATTTAAATTGCTACTTTTCACCTTATTAAATTCACCACATATTTAAAAAGAAGGTAACTGGCTGTAAGTATGAATCCCCTGAGTATATTCAGGAAATACCGGAAAGGTTGTGTGTTTGTTTTTTTTTTTTAACTGAGCTGTAGTTTTCAAATAAATAAAACATTTCTCTGTAGGAAGGATGGTTGTAATTTTTACTTTTTAGCTATTCTTAAAGAAATTCTTCCTGTCAGTAATTTGAAATCATTAATATTTGTTTTGTTCTTAGCTTTGTCTATTTTGTTAATAATTCTATAGTGTGCTAAGGTTTAAAACAGTTGGATCATGTTATAAGGCTATGATAAGTAGTGCTATAAATAAAATATAATATTAGGTTATCAAACAAGTGAAATTAATGTTTAAGACTGAACTTGAAAATGAAGTTTATTTTTCCCTGTTAGTTTTTATGATGTGGTTCTTAAGTGTGCATGTAATTTTACCATGTTCAAGAGAAAATGGTGAGATTTATTTCATTTAGGTTGCATTTGAAGGAAGGTGGAAGAATAGGGCAATGATACCACACAGTTTTAATATTTTTGCCAAAGTTGCACTGATGGGAACCTCCAATATAAATTCATTCCTGTTGGATAGGAAAGGTTACAAAATATATAACGTTCCTAGAAAGAGGGAAATGGAATATTTGTTTAATTGGTTTGAGTAAAGCTGAAAAGTGAAAGGAAGGAATTCGGAAGTTAATTTTTTTAAATATGATTAACATTTTTGGTAAGAGCTTTTATTTCAATAATCTGAAGATTGGTATGTATCATTACATGTACAAGGCTTTTTGTTCTCTGTTTAACCCTTAAAGAGTATATTTCTTGGCAGCTCCCATTAGATTTTTCTCTGCAAAACCTTCAGTGTCTGAAATTTGCAATTGTTTGTGATGGTTCTTGAATTGCAGTTTGTTTAATTGTCACTTTTTGTTGAAATGTTTAAATGCCTGTTCTCTACAATATTAACTCTCTGAGGGCAGGACCTTTTCTTGTGTATATTTAATGGGCACTTTAAGAATGCTAGTAATAATTATATCTTGTTGGTTAGTTACTTGACCATCTAATAACTAACCTCAGCTGATGACATCTCGTAGGCCTGTTAACCTGGCTTTCACAACCACAGATTGTCCTACATACAATCTTGGAAATGTGTTCTCTTGGTCAAAAGGGAACTGGACATAAAAAGAACATCTGCCTTTTCTATCTAGTGGGAAAAAAATCTATCTTGGAGTAAACAAACTTGGTTTCTAGGCATTTTGCTGCCACTGGAGATAATGTTAACAGACTCCCTTATCTGCTTTGCACTTCGGTTTCTCTTTCTGTATAACAGGAATAATAATTTCTATGTTCTGTACTCATAGGGCTATTTTGAGGATAAAACAAACTATTAGAAATTCATTTTCTGGGGCCGGCCCGGTGGCGCACTGCTACAGTGCGCCGCTTGGGAAGCGTGGTGGCGCTCCCGCCGAGGGTTCGGATCCCACATACATACCGGCCGCTCACTGGCTGAGCGAGGAGCGGGGGCAACACCGAGGGTTGCGATCCCGTTGCCGGTCCCGGTCCGGTACGGGCGCGACACTGAGGGTTGCGATCCGTTGCCGGTCACGAAAAAAGACAAAAAGAAAAAAAAAAAAAAGAAATTCATTTTCTTTGAAAATATTGGAAGTCCTAGGTGATTAGAGATGTAGTTTGCTTTTTCTCTGTTACTGCTTCTATTATTGTACTTATCCCATTGTCTTGCTGTTAGACTGTGCTTCTTGAGAACAGGGTCAGTGTCTTATCCAGTTTTGTGTACCTAGACTCTAGCAGAGTGTCTGGCAGATACTCGTAGGAGGCAAACAGAAATACTTGCTTAATGAGTAAGTAAATTTTGTTACTGGAGGGGAGATAAGAAATCTGGTTTCTACTCCTGCCTTTGTTGCCATATAGCTATGATAACCAAGTGAGACAAGTTAGTTAACCTCTCTGGTTCTTGGTTTTTTTCTTCTGTAAAATAAGAGGTTTGAACTATCCATGAGGTTTCTTCCCTCAGTAAAATACTAAGCTTTATATAATGTTACGAGAATTGAGAGTTGTAAAAATGCTGTATTCCCAGTGCCTAGAATAGTACCTGCCATGTAGTAGTGACAGGAAGTTCCCATTTTATACAAAGAAAGGAGCAGGGGGTCTGCTTCCTAATTTATAAGTGTGTAGGGTGCACCTATAAACTTTTGAGCCCATTAGTCTTGTTCTAGATGTGTTCTTTGGATTACGGAGAATGAGGAAACACAAGTTTTACTTGTGTGTTTTTAAACAATGTTATTACATTTTAATTTTCCAAAACTCCTTTCCTTTCTGTTTATTGCCACCTGACTTATTTGGCATGACAGAATGAATAATTGATCCTATGTAGAATCAGAACCAGCACAGCTCTGTGATCTAGGGAATGTGCTATGCTTTCTAAAACAGCCTCCAGGGCCGAGCCGGTAGCACACTCGGGAGAGTGCGGCGCTGGGAGCGCAGCAACGCTCCCGCTGCGGGTTCGGATCCCAGAATGGCCGGTGTGCTCACTGGCTGAGCGCGATGTGGGCGACACCACACCAAGGGTTGCGATCCCCTTACCGGTCACGAAAAAGACAAAAAAAAAACCAGCCTCCATGTGCAGGTGAGTGGACTCACCTTGATAGCTCCTCACTCCTTACAGGACAGGAGCCAAATAAAATTAGTGAGGTAGAGAAAAGTTAAACGATTTGCTCAAGGTCACAAGGCTGGTGCTAGTAATATAATTTAATGGTTATTTTTAGCTCGTGGTAAGCTCAGCTAGAACAACTGTGCTAGGCCCAGCTAAATGACAAATGTCAAAATATAGCAGTCTGAAAAGCTTTATTTTTGACTTGTTAGAGTGTCTCCTTTGCCAAAACTTCATACAGGTGCTCAGTGTGCAGAATGTTATGTAGCTTTTGTGCTTGCCCAGTAAGAACTTGAAAGCACTTACTCAGTATTGACATGGTAGAGGAGTAGGCAAGGAATATAAAGGACCTTACTCAAGGAGCTTACAATTCAGCTAGAAGACAAAGATTGTTACTTGTGAATCAGATAAAAATAGAAGACACCATATAATCATCACCTGCACAGTGTGATATGAGTAATGAATACATTAGAAATTGATAAATGGGAGAATTGAGTAGAGAATTTGGGGGAAAGTAGTGTTTCTTAAAGGCTTTGGGGATGAGTAGATTTGGGGTACATGGAAACAGATAGATTGAAAAAGAGGAACAAAAGGATAATAATCTCTTGTTTACTGTGTTAAGTACAATATTCTGTCTTATTAAAGAGCTCATTTAAGGGACCGGCCCGGTGGCGCACTGCTACAATGCGCCGCTTGGGAAGCGCGGCGGCACTCCCGCCGAGGGTTCGGATCCCACATACAGACTGGCCGCTCACTGGCTGAGCGAAATGCAGGAGCAACACCGAGGGTTGCGATCCCGTTGCCGGTCCTGGTCCGGTACGGGCGTGACACTGAGGGTTGCGATCCGTTGCCGGTCACGAAAAAAGACAAAAAGGAAAAAAAAAAAGAGCTCATTTAAATATTTAAATTAATAGCTTAAGATGGTTTAGTACAATTTAAGAAGAAAAAAATGTGTTTATAAAAGCATTACTAGGTTCGGGTAAAATTATTTCCAGTGAGTATGTTAGGAGATGTTAAATTGTATTTATTTTATTTTCCTTGGTATAAATGACAGAGAATTATTTTAGTTATTTTTCTTAACATCTTGGTGGTGTAGGTCTGGAAGGGTCCTCCAAGGATCCTTCTAATACAGTCCAGCATCCCATTTATAGGCAGATTGTGAAGCAATTTCCAGACAGACTGGCTTCACTCCTGTTCTTATGTTTTCTAGGAAAAGAGATTCCACAAGTTTCTGTGGTTACCCACTCCATTGTTTAGGAAAGAATTGGATTCTCAAAATTAAAATTGTGAGCTGTAGGGCACTTGGTT